CCTGTCGGTCCAACGAGCCCGATCGCACGGCCCGGGCTTGCTCCACCTCCGCTTGAAGGGTTTGCTAAGCCAGGGGAACGCAGCGCTTGCGTCCTGCTCCTTCCCCGTGCCCTGTCTCTCCCCAGCTGTGTTCCGGCGAAAGCTCAGACCTCTGATTTTAAACCTGTAAATTTAGCGCGTTGCATGGAAACGCAGCGCCCTGGCGGGTTGGGAATGGTGGCTTTGGCTTTAAGGCCGGCCGTTGAATGAAGTAATGCTCGCTCTGGTCAGCCGGAGAGATTGTTTTTCATCGCTGCGTCCTTCGGGAGCTCGGAATGTCGACATGTCTCCTGGCACCTGGGTCTCCTGGCACCTCATGCGCCCGGGTGGGGGTTAAAAGGATAGCTTTCCCAATTCTCGACTTTGAAGACGGTGGTAATTGGTCTGAATTGGCCAAAATAACCGAAACAACAACAAAAATTCTTTTCGCCTAAGGCAAAGTGTTTTAGCACCGTAGCATAACCTGATTCCTGGTGCTTCACCCAGGAACCTCGCATATTTGGAGATTTGACCCCCCTTTTTTTTTTTCTTTTTTTTCCAACTTGGACACATACTGCTTCAGTATTTTTGCTTGGTTACAATTATTTTAATACAGTGATGTGATATAGGTTGTTCATTTTTTTAAAACTTATTTTTCTATATGATTATTTTTAAAAGTGTGTAAATAACTGATTAAAATGCGTTGTGTTTTGTTTTTTCTTTTTTTTTTTTTTAAAGAAAACAAGTCCTGGTTTACAGCCCAGGATTGCTGTTGAAATATGTGTTCGGTTTTGGGTTATGCTCTTCTCTCTGGTATCTGATAATTCGCTAGACATTTAAAATGTTAAATTATAACTGTGTGGGGAGGTCGTCAGGAGGGTGGATAGAAAAGGGAGGTAATTATTTTCCCTATTGAGAAGGCACTCTTCAAGGACAAGAAGAAAAAAAAAATAGCATTTTTTTCTGATACAAAAAAATCTGGCAGAGCAATCCAACTGGCTGGAAGGGTGGGGGACGTAAGGGACTGGGCTGATCCCTTCTCCTCCAGCTCCTGTGACAACTGCTGGAACCGAGGGATGGTTATCCAGGGGTGGGGTTCCAAGCGGCTGCAAAACTTGCTGCTCCCTGCTGTGCTGCTGGACTCCTTTTCCTCCCTTCTTCTGCTTCCCCAGTGTCTTGCAGTTTGGTTTTGGGGGCTGAGCCCAGTGGACGCTGACCCGCACTCGTGTTAGTCTGTACCGAACAAGGAGCTCCTCTGTGTGAGGAACGGGAAGAACATTGAAGCATTTTTTATAGGTTTTTTTTTTTCAGTTTCACATTTGAAGGTAAATAACATGTTTTCTTCCTTCTTTGCCATCAAGTTAAATGTTCTGAATGGAGTTTGGGGGTTCTTTTTTAGTAAGTTGCAGGCAGAAGTGTTAGTATTTGCTCTTTGTCCGCAATGCTCTCGGGCACAGCGCCGCATCAGGCGTGCAGAGCTCCGAATGCCTCAGACCTGTCACACGTATATAAATGTACTTAGGAAATGGCGTGTGGGGTCTGTACTGCTCTAAAATTTGACATGGAAAGAGAACACTGGAAAAGGCCGGTAGATTTCTGCTGCTGATATTCCAGGGAAGGTGCCGAAATCCCCTTTTTTGTCTTGGTTTTTAGGAGTTACTTGCTGAAAGACTTGTGCTGATTGTTTGGGGTGGGGTTTTTTTGGTGTGTCTGTGTATAAACTCGGCGCATTGAACCTGGTGAACGCTGGAGCGGAGTCTTTTTGGAATATTTCAGTGAATTATGTTACTGGGCGGTACTGGCTCTGCCTGGGACGGGGTTGACTGCCTTCGCAGCAGCCTGTGAGCTGTATTTTGGCTTTGTGGCTAAACTGGCGTCGGTCACATGCTGGTGTTTTGGCTGTTGTCGAACAGTGCTTGCACAGGGTCAAGGCTTTTCCCCCCTGCTCCCCTGGGTGTAGGCAAGAGGTTGGAAGGGTACACGGCTGTGGCATGGGGTGTCCAAAGGGACATTCCGTGGCATGGAAATGGCCTGCACCTGGGAAACCTGGGATAAAAGTGGTGCTTTGAGCCTCGACTGGTGTCTGGCCTCTGCATTGCTGTCACAGCAATGCGGATTTTGACTGCTGTTTGTAATGGTACTAACAGTGTTCCCCTGCCACCAGTGCCCTGCACACGCTGCCACCTCATCAGACCCTGAATCCACTCGATCCCAGTTCAGGTCTTGGTGGATCCTCCGGTAACCACCCAGCTGGGGGTGGCAGAGGGAACGTGTCCTGCGGCAGCCGGCTCCTGGGTGGCACGGTGTGTGGGAGCGCATGGGCAGGTTCCTAGAGCGGTTTCACCTCCGATGGCCTGGGAGTTTTTGCCTTGGCAGGCAGGTAACCCTGCTGAAATGGCAGACTGCCTGCAGGAGGGATGCCTTGTCCCTGCCAAAAACAGCGAGCAGCTTCTAGTGCTGTGTTGGGACCTGACCTACACTTAGGACCAGGACCAGGCCTGTGTTCAGGACCCTCAAAGGAGCAGGAGAGTCCCTGGATCTAAGGATAACACAAATGGACAGCGTGGCTAAACCAGAGACTCGGTGCAGGCATCCTCTGTTGAGGATGAAGTGTCACCTCGAGGATGATCTGGTGGCAAGCGGGCCACCCTGGCTGTTGTCCGAGGGAAGTGGTGGAGGTGATCTGCATCAGCCTGGACAGCAACCAGGTCTCCAGGGATCGGGATGACGTCCAGTGCCACAGGGGCCACGTGGCAGAGGTTAGTGCCAAAGGCACTGGTGCCGTGCAGCAGTGCCCGGGTGATCAAGGCACTGGCTGTGGAGACACTGTCCCACCAGCTCCAACAGTTTGAAGAGAATTCTCTTCCTCCTCGCTCCTACAGGCTGCGAAGGGTGCCACACAGAGTTGGCCTCTCCCATGATTCTGTCTGTGCCGCTGTGGGGAGCGCGTGGGGAAGTGGGGTGGTGTGCTGCCTTGGGCCGGCACGCTGCCTGGGTGAGTTGTGGGGGCAAAGAGCAGCTCACGGGGGTCCGTCCAGGAGGACTGCTGCTGCGGCTGCCCTCGAGCAACTCCCCAGACGCAGAAGGGCTGAGGATGCCTCTCCTCCTCCTGATCTTGATGAAGGGACGTCTGGTCTGCTGCGAGTAACGAGTGCTCCGACCAGGAATAGGGTGGCTTTGGCTCTGGCCACGCAGAGGAAAGGGACAACGGACTCGACTGGATGGTGTGGATTCGATGGCCGAGCACATGGGACCCATGGGAGCCCAGGTGGACGCCAGTGTGCGGTGTACCCCAATGCCCTCAGGGCATAGGGGCGGAACCTGTCTGGATTTTGGGGGTGATTCCCCCTGGAGTGGTCCCGTACGGCATTGCTGAAGTCTGACGGAAGGGCGAGGCTGAAGGTGGGCTGTCACCGTCGGAAGGAGGTGACGCTGCTGTGCTGGCTGCCCTGCTGCCCAGACCTGTGCTGTCCCCGGGCAGCAGAGTGCGGGGCGCAGGCTGCTTTCATGCAGAGGGGTGTCCGTGCAGCTGGAGCTGACAACCCCAGCGTGGAAACACAGCCCTGCCTTTGCCGTGGGCTGATACAGGCAGCACTGGAATGGGGTGAAGCTCCTGAGCGCCTGCCATACGCTGATGTCCTGGTTTCGGCTGGGATAGAGTTAATTTTCTTCATAGTAGCTAGCATAGTGCTGTGTTTTGGATTTAGTACCAGAAGAATGTTGGTAACACACATCCTTGTGTCGGGCAACGCGGCGGAGGAAATGTTTGAGAAGGGAAGAGAAGAATCCAGATCCTGTTGAAGGCTGGTTTTGCTGTAAAAGAAGGCAAGATCAAGGGACCTGCAAAGGAGATCCAGTTCTTGGAACTGAGGTGGAAAGACGGACGTTGTCGTCACATCCCTGTGGTTGTGGTCAAGAACGCAATGGCCACGTCCCTACCAGCTACCAAAAAAGGAGCAGCAGCAGCTTTCCTAGGTGTTGGGGGTTTCTGGAGAATATGTGTAGCGGTCGGCTTGTGGGTCCTCTCTGTTGAGTAACCCGAAAGGAGAACTATTTCAAGCGGGGCCTTGCAGCAGGCCGTCGGACAGATCCAGCAGGAGATAGTTGGTGCGGTCACCCTTCGGCCAGGCCGGACAGGACCAGCTGCCAGGAGTGTGCCCTGCTCCGCAGCCAGGGAGTGTGGCCTCCCCGGGTGCCTCGGTTGGAAAAAAACCCTGGGGAGATGCGAGGCCACCTCCAGGGTTTGGGAATATTTCAGTGAATGTTGTCACCGAGCTGTACCGGTGGGATGGAGTGTGGTGCTGTGTGCTGGACGGGCGGCTAAACCAGTGGGGGTAAGTGCCAGTGTTCTGGCTCTTGCTGGGCAGTGCTTGCTCACCATCGAGGCTTTCTTCAGGCAGGCGGGCTGGGGTGGGCGAGAGGCTGGAGGGGGCACAGCTGGGACAGCCGACCCCAACTGGCCCAAGAGCTGTTCCGTACCCTGGAACGTCTTGCTTGGTGACAGAGACTGAGGTAGAAAAAGAAGAAAAGGGTGGTTTTGACTTCCAGGGTTCTGTGGTTTTTGAGCCTGGCTGAGCATCCCTCTGCCTGTGGGAGGAGGCGAGTGATTGATTGCCTTTGCTAGGGGTTGTTTCTGCCCTTCTTTGGGGTGGGGGGGGCAGGTTTAAGATCTGTTAGGCTGCCCTTTATTTTACCCCATGCGTTTTCTTGCTTTTGTTCTTCCTGTTCTCTCCCTGGCCAGCTGGGGTGGCGAGCGAGCGAGTGGCTGTCAGTGCTTGGCTGCTGGCCACCACATAAGTATATATTGTATTTTGCTTACCTTTAGGAAACTTTCATTTCTGTTACTTTTTTCTGGGTGCTTTTGTGTTTGAGATAGCTATGTGTCCTGGTTTGGGCTGGGCTGGTGGTAATTTTCCTCCTAGTAGCTGGCACAGCGCCGTGTTTTAGGTTTAGTACCAAAAAAATGTTGATAACCCCCCGATGTTCAGTGGGTGCTGAGCAGGGCTTACACCAGTCAAGGCCTTTTCAGCTTCCCCTGCTCTGCCAGGGGCACAAGAAACTGGGAGGGGGCACAGCCAAACTGGCCGAGGGGCTATTCCATACCATGTGATGTCATGCCCAGTATATAAACTGGGGGGTGTTGGCTGGGAGGGGGGAGGAGGGGGCAGGGATTGCTGCTTGGGGATGGGCTGGGCATCTGTTGGTGGGTGGTGAGCAATTGCATCACTTGTTTTTTTCCTGGGTTTTGTTCCTCTCTCTCTCTTCTTTTTTTTTTTTTTTTGTTTTGGTTTGTTTGTTAGTTTTGTTTTCCTTTTCATTACAATTTAAAACAAATAATAATATCTCAATTATTAAACTGTTCTTATCTCAACCCACGAGTTTTCTTACTTTGCCCTTCCAGTTCTCTCCCCAGCCCGCTGTGGGGGGCACGGTGAGCCAGCGGCTGCATGGGGCTGGGGTTGCCGGCTGGGGTTAGACCACAACAACCAGGAAAAGCAGTCTAGAGGATCACAGGCACACCCCAAACAAGCTGCTTTTGAAGAGGAAGGTGAGAATCTAGCCTTAAATGTCCAGCCCATTGTGTCCTTAGCCTTGGCATAGCTTTATCTTTCAACTGTCATTTCCAGCATTTCTTTTGAAAAGGTCAGTCAGGAGACAGAGCCAACTGAGGCTTCGTTGCTGCTGTGCAACGCTTGCCTGGATGTCAGAAGGAGAATGTGGGTGTACGACCTCCATGGGGAGGAACGCAGTTTAAATGTTTGTCCTCTGTTTCCTACGGCTTCAGGTGCAGTTAGTGCCAGCTGACGAGGAAGCTGGTGTCTGAGATGTGCTCAAATACATTTGCGCTGCTCTGGAGCTGAGCAAAGCCCTGGATGTTTCACTGCAGATTGGTTTCAGAGTCGTTAAGGACTGTGCACCATAAACCTGGATGTCTTTTAAAACCTTGGCTTCTGGGTTGCTTTCTACTTAGGTCTCGAATTCTTTCATGAACAAGCCTTTTGATCACAGAAATCACTTAACTGCCCTTTGTATTTCTTCAAGTGTTAATGTTGATGGAGAACCTGACAGTTTTAAGTTTGAGAGAGAAATTGTTAGTCTCTCTTATTTTCCTGACCCAGGAAGGTAGTTTTAAATGCTAGTGCCATCTCTCTTCTGTTTACCTGAAGAGACTGGGTTTGGTGTGTATCTTTGTCCTGGTTTCGGCTGGGATAGAGTTAATTTTCTTCCTAGTAGCTAGCACAGTGCTGTGTTTTGGATTTAGTACCAGAAGAATGTTGATAACACACTGATGTTTTCAGCTGTTGCCAAGTAGTGCTCAGACTACTCAAGGACTTTTTGAGCTTCTCCTGCTCGGCCAGGGGCATAACGAGCTGGGAGTACAGCACAGCTAGGACAGCTAACCCAAACTGACCAAAGGGCTGTTCCAGACCACGGAACGTCATGCTCGGGGGGGTCGGTCGGTCGCGGGCAGAGTGGTCGCAGCTTGGGGAGTGAT